GCACTGTCCAGGCAGAGCAGATGCAGAGGGAGGATGTTCACAGGGCTGGCTTGCAGTTGGAGTCCTTGTTTTCTCTGTGGGGTGAGTAAAAGTGCACTGATTCACTGCGAGGAGGAGGCTGCGAGCCGGGGTGGGGAACACAAAACAGCTCTTGCGGTGGGTCTGAGAGTGGTGGGTAGGAGGCACTTGGGGAAGGCATGTTGAGTTGTGAGGACCAGGCGTGCACGGCAGTTGTGTGGACCAGCCCATGCTTGAGGGCCTGTCTGGAGCACCACTCTGCTGCAGAGGCCAAAGACAGGAGAAAGCAAATCTACACAGATTTGGAGGTTTTCAGACAGGGTCAGATGAAAGAGAAATAGGTGAGAGTGAAGTTGTTGACAGAATGGATAAACTGTCTCCGGAGCCAGGCACTGGTGGCTCATGCCTGTAATCAGGAGGCTGAGATCTGAGGATCATGCTTCAAGGCTGGAAGTCAGCCCTGGTAGAAAAGTCTGTGAGACTTATCTCCACTGAACTACCAACAAAATTGATAGTGGGGCTGCGGCTCAAATGGTAAAGCACTAGCTAGCCTTGAGCACTGAGGCTCAGGGCTGGTGCCCAGGATCAGCAACAGACAGACAGACAGACAGACAGACAGACAGACACTGTTCTCTCCATTTAGGGATCTGGAACAACACCACAAACATGTATTCACATAGAATTCCAGACCACTTATCTTTTATAAAATAGGACCATTGGAAGATACATGCATGCAGTATTGAGGTTATGGATGCAGTTCAGGCATAGAGCGCTTGCTTAGCATGTTAGAGGCCCTTGATTTGATGAATCCTTTCATACACCTACCACGTTTCCTAGTGTCGTGATGCAGTGCGTTGCATTGGATGCCCTCCTGCTGCTGGGTGCTGGGCTGTCTGTTGCTGCCATCTTAGCCAGAGTCTCATGCCACACAGCTAGCTCAGGAGCCAATCACCACTGGATGTACAGCTTTCCCACAATCATAATGCCAAAAAATTGTAACTGAAACCATTTTAGATGGAGACCCTCCAGATCACCTGTCCTGGCAGTGCAGATGCTTTGGTATAACTAAACATTAGCTCTACTCCCAGGCCTCAGTAATGCCCACATTTTGTGAAAAATATGAAGTGTGTTTGTATGTGTGTGTGTTGGTCCCTGGGGCTTGAACTTGGTGCCTGGGTGCTGTCCCTGAGCTTTTGTGCACAAGGCTAGTGCTCTACCACCTGAGCCACAGTTCCATTTCTGGTTTTTGTTTTTTGTTTTTTTTTTGGTGTTGAATTGGAGATAGGATTTCAAGGACTTTCTTGCCCAGGCTGGCTTTGAACCGTGGTCCTCAGATCTCAGTGTCTTGAGTAGCTAGGATGACAGGTGTGAGCTGCTGGTGCGCTTTGGTGCCTCTGGCATCATTTTTAATTTCAGAATATAGTGGAGTCAGCTTGGGTAGGGAAAGGGAGCGTTGTTACAGAACACTGAAGACCCACTGCCTTCTCCACGGTCCCAGGAGAAGGCTTAAAAACTCATTTCCAAGTGGAAATAATTTTGGTTATAATAGAATGTTCTGTGTTATTCAGTGAATTTTCTTTTGTTATAAAACGTGTTGGTAGTGTTATGGAGACAGCATGAAGAAAGATGAACATTATCTTCCAAATCTGTTTTGAGAATGAAATAGAGTGTAGAGGTTATGAGAAAAGTTTGAACTACAATATAAGAAAAAAAAAAGATCCACATTTTGATAATGTCCTAATTCTCACATTAAATAAACATAATATGAGGCTTTTCAATGGGCTATGTAATACACTTCAAATAAAAATTAAACATTTTAAACGAAGTGATCTTCAAGAAGAGGGCCTTAAATACTTGTTCCCCGTAATTTTATTCACTTAAAAATGGCTGTGATGAGTAACTCTTTTTCTTCTTTTTTCCTTGGCCTGGGTACTGCCCCTCAATATTTTTGTTCAAGGCTGTACCACTTGAGCCACAGCTCTGCTCCCGGCTTTTTTTTTTTTTGGAGATAAGAGTTTCATGGACTGTCTTCCAAACATGGCTGTCTTCCAAACATGATCCTCAGATCTTAGCTTCTTGAGTAGGTAGGACTATAGGAATGAGCCACTGATGCCTGGCATAAGTAACTTTTTTGTGTGTAAATTTTTGTTCAGTCGTGTGTGTGTATGTGTGTGTGTGTGTGTGTGTGTGTATTAATGTTTCATCTCTAATTCTAGATTAAAAAAATGTGAGCCACTTCTATGCCAAAACACTTGAAGTCTCATTATATTTCTAATGAGGGAGACATTCCAGGAAGTGTGCAAATTCCCCTCAGTGTGAGCTCAGGTGGGTGACATTACAGACCAGCCCTCCACTGAGCTCTCTTGAAGAACAGGCGTTTGTCATGAATGAATCTCTCCTCCGTCTAGGAGATGCAAGGTAGCCAAATGGCTCCTCCATAGAAGCTGAGCTCAGATCTGCTTCTAATAAATCTTGCCAAAATTAGTGTTGATCTTTGGCACTATTCATTGTCATTCATCTAAACATGATTCTGTCTCCTGAGACTAGATACTTGGAAAACCTTGGCTAACTCACCATTTCCTCCGATATCCTTCGATAGCCTATTGCCAATATTGCTCATCATATATTGCCAAGAACATCGTGCATAATGTGCCATTATTTCTTTCACATGTCGCGAGGAAGCTGTGTGTAATAGCTTCAGTCTGCCATCCCAGCTTCTTGGGAGCAGAGGTTGGGAGGATCCTGGAGCAAGGCCAGCTCAGGCAAAAATTTGTAAAATGTCTTCTGTGCTAGAACATGGACAGGCATGGGGTTACAAAATGTGAGCAAAATCATGCTTTGTGTGTGCATTTGTACTGAAGAGTGGACAGGTAAATAGAGTGATTTTCCATAGCTCTATAAACATGAAGATGACAATGTTAGAGAAGTCCTGTTTAAGGAATTAAGGAACTGAAGCCTGAATGATAAAAAAAGAAAGAGAGGGAGAGAGGAGAGAGGGGGGGGAGGGCAGGAAGGAAGGAAGGAAGGAAGGAAGGAAGGAAGGAAGGAAGGAAGGAAGGAAGGAAAGAAGGGAGGGAGGGAAGGAAGAGAGAGAGGGAGGGAGAGAAGAAAGGAAAGAAGGAAGGGAGGGAAGGGAGGAAAGAAGGAAGGAAAGGAGGAAAGAAGGAAGGAAAGAAGGGGGAGGGGGGGAAAGGAAAGGAAGGAAGAAGGAAGGAGGAAGGGAGGGAGGGGGAAAGGAAAGAAGGAAAGAAAAGGAAGGGAGAAGGGAAAGGGAAATGTGTTTTGGGGCCCAGGAGTGATCACAAAGTTGGGGATCAGTGTTATGAGCTTGGTTTTGATGAGATTTATCATGGAGGAGAAGGAGGAAGAGGAGGAGGAGGGGGTGGGGGAGAAGGGAGGAAGAAGAGGAGGACCACTTTGAGAGGCCAGGTCAACAATGGGCAACATAGTTGAGAAGTCAACTAAGATGAAAGTTGAAAACTGACCGAATGACACAGAAGAGCACCTAGGGATAGTGGCAGATTTAGGTAATAAAATGATAAATACCTGGAAAAGAAGTGGCATGATAGAAGTCAGATGACTCTTAGGAGGGAATAAGACATTTCTGGGTTCTAGGTAACTGGCAAGATTCTCTGTTTAAATTGATATGACATGGGAAGGTGAGTACAATAGTTCATCAAGCTAGACTTTTGTTATATGTGGACTTTTTGAGTTATAACAATGCTAAAATGAAACTTTTACGTGGGACCTTGATAGGCAAAGCTTTTGCCTATCAAAGGCAATGTCCTGGGTTCAATCTCCTGTACCAAAAAAAAAAAAAAGTTAAAAAAAACTTCCAAACAAACAAAAACCTGGACAGGCCATCTTCCAGACTTTCCCACTCTGGCCAGCTAGCTGTCATCCTAGCTACTCAGGAGGCTGAGAGCTGAGCATCACTGTGCAAAGCCAGTCTGGGCAGAAAAGTCCATGATGAGATTCTTATCTCCAATGAACCACTCAAAAGCTAGATGTGGAGCTGTGCCTCAAGTGGTGGAGCCCTAGCCTCGAGCACCAGGGCACCCTGAGTTCAAGCCCCAGTACTGGGATAAACAAAAACCACCAACAAATTTTATGTGAAGATTTAAAGTATTTAATTTTTTTTAAGGTATAAAGTTACTTGTTAGGCTTTTGTAAGAAATGGAGTAGGCAGATGTGTTAAAGACATCAGTTGAGTTTAATTAACAGAATTGGAGTAAACAGCTTGAGCCACAGGTTAAAAACAAAACAAAACAAAACAAAACCTAGTGAACTCCTCCCGAAGGATGCACTCATGTTCTGTGTTCTGCTGCATAAAGTGCCCACTCCTGGGCTCATCTGTTCAGTTTGCACAATGCTTTCACATACATTATCTCATTTAATCCAAGAGTAGGTGACTCTGAGAGGAGTTGTAAGGCTCTTTCTAGTCCATCTTTAAAAATAGTGAGTTCATTACTCATATTATTTTAAACTACCGAACATAAAAATAAGCTGATCTTCACTGTGCATGTCAATGCATTGTTTCATTTCTTCATTCCCTAGAGGAGTCCTAACCCTTATGTAAGGAAATGGTTTTCCCCAGTTTAGTAACTATGGAGGTATATTAATTTTGAAGGTATATTGGAGGTATATTTTGGAGGTATATTATTTTGAAATAAGTAAATGTAGCTGTGTGCTGGTGACTCACAACTACAATCCTAGCATTTAGGAGGCTGAGATTTGAGGGTTGCAGTTAAAAAGGAAAGTCCCTGAGCTTCTTACCTCCAATTAACCACTGAAAAGCCAGAAGAGAAGCTGTGGCTCAAGTGTTAGAGTGCTAGTCTTGAGTGAAGAAAGCTCAGGGACAACACCCAGGCCCTGAGTTCAAGCCCCAGGACTGGCACCAAGAAAACCAAATAAGAGAACAAGTAAATGTTTGTGAATTTGAAGGTGGGAAGTGAATGACAACGCCTCCCTTCTCTCCACAGAGGCCTCTTCATCAGCATCCATGACCGGGGTCACATTGCTTCGGTTCTCAACGCCTGGCCGGAAGACGTCATCAAGGTGAGGCGGCGCCCAGCTCCATGGAGGCCATCTCTTGTCCTTCTGTCCACGGAGGCCGTCTCTTGTCCTTCTGTCCCATGGAACAGTTTAAATCACAGCGATGATTCTTAATAGAGCAAGCAGCATTCACTAGTCTTTCCAGTGAAAAGTGCCTGTTTTTTCATGGTGTATTATTATTAATTTAGTTTTTGCCTGTCCTGGGGCTTGAACTCAGGGCCTGGGCACTGTCCCTGAGCTTCTTTTGCTCAAGGATAGCACTCTGCCACTTGAGCCACAGCACCACTTCTTTTTTTTTTCTGTTTATGTGGTACTGAGGAATCAAACCCAGGGCTTCATGCATGCTAGGCAAGCACTCTATCACTGAGCCACCTTCCAGACTTTTCTACTCTGGCCTCGAACCATGATCTTCTCATTCTCAGCCTTCCAACTGAATTTACTTTCAAGGCGAGTTTTAAAGAGCTTTATAATATAGGTAATCAGGAAATTAAAGGAAAAGATCTCAAAAATGTGTTTTAAAATAGCTGGGTGTTTGTGGCTCTTGCCTATATTCTTAGCTACTTAGGATGCTAGGATCTAATAATCTAGGTTCAAAGCCAGCCTTGGCAGACAAATCCAAAAGACTCTTATCTCCAGATAATCAGCAAAAATCAGAAGTGGAGGTGTGGTTCCAGTGGGAAAGCACCAGCTGTGAGAAAAAAAAAAGTCATGAGCGAGTCTGAGGCCTTGAGTTCAAGCCCCTGTACCTTTAGCGGTATGCATGCTGTAGAGAGTGCTTGACTCAGTTAACATAGCCAGGTTCTCCTCTTTGATATTAAGTACATCACTCACCATTAGAGGAATGATTTCAGCTTTCTGATCTCCATTTCCTAATCTGTGGCATCAGAGGAGCAGAATGGATCTGCTTCCGATGTGCTTTCTAAAGCCCTGTGCGCCTGTGCACATTAGATCTGGGAAGTGATGGTAATAGTATTAGCAGCCACAATTGACTGTAGACTTGGAAACATGCCAGGTATCAAGTACAGCATGAGTTCACTTCATGGAATCATGGATTTACCCAGCTGACTAGTATTTATCTCTCATTTACCATGTGCAAGGTGCCAATATCTGGTAGTAAGCAGTACACGGTGGATTCCTAGTTTGATCCAGCAACTCTGAAAAGGATAGTTATTAGCTTCTTTTTACAAGAAGCACACTTAAATTCACAGCTCTATCCAAGGCCAAAGAGCTGCTATCATCCCACAGATTGTTTGAGTCGCAGCACTTTGTGGATCATCTGCTAAGTTGTTTCTCATCAACTCACGAAGGGACTGTGAATCACAGAATGAAGATGTCAGATGCATTGGTTCTAACAATGATGCTCAAGTGTATAGCGGACCCTGGCAGTCCACATTCCATGTGGCTCCACGGGGTAAAACCTGGACTCTCAGAACACGTAGAGTAGCACCGTCCTGCAGGGTAGGGGCTCAATTCATTTCCAGATAAAGCCACCTAGCTTCCACCCGAGATGGGCTTCCTCTCAACAAATCTAAACATTTCACAGTGTCGTTGAAAGCACACACACGAATGTCCCTTTTTTAGCTTGCTTTTTGAGCACCATTCATTTTGGGGAGGCATATTTTCATGAAACTAAGGGTAGATTTTTAGCAGATCACATAGGGTTTAAACACACAAGACAATAGTAGAACTGACTGAGTTTGACCATATCAGTTGAGCAGAGTGATATGTACAGAAGAACGTAAAATTGCTGTTGTGAAACATTTTGATTTAAGAAAAATGTATTCCATTTTTGACTATGCTTAGTCAAAACTATGTGCAATAGATCAGATTATAAGACAGTTACAATTAAGGCTAAAATCTCTGCATGATTGAAATATATATAGGCTTTGTAATTATTCAGGGTGGTTAGAAATCAGCTAAATAGGGTAAGAGTAGTGGCTCACAGGACTGTAAGCCCAACAACTTGGCAAGTGGAAACATTGCCCAAGTCATGTTTGAATAAAAAGCACAAGACTCAATCTGAAAAATAAAAGCAAAAAAAGGGAGGGGTCTGGAGGCGTGGCTGAGTGGTAGAACACTTGCCTAACAAGTGCCAGGAGCTGAGTTCAAAAATGCCAGTACTGCCTCCCGTGCAAAAAAAGGAAGAGGCCACACAAGTCTGTGTGAAGTGTAGTGGAAGATGAGCAGGTAGCAGATGATGGTGGTAGAAGCAGTGCTAAGTATCCAAGAGTGAGACAGGACCAGGGGATTGCAGGAGTTAGAGAGCAGAGGCCCTCAGTCTGCCAGTCCTGCGGCTACTGCCATCCATGCGGGATCTCAGGGCCAGGTGAGTGCACTCAAGCCACCTGATGCTTCTTTGGTTCCCAGCGTGAGCTCTTATTTCCCTCTTGCCCACCTGGATTGAAGACTAAGGTTTTGAGCTGTTTGAATATGTGTTCACATTCTTCTTTTGATGGTGACCTAATTAAGCATGTAGAGCTCATCATTAAAATATATAAACCTCCAGGTGCTGGTGGATCATGCCAGTAATTCTTGCTACTCAGGTGGCTGAGAACCAAGAATCAAGGCTCAAAGCCAGCTCAGACAGCAAAGTCCATGAGCCTCTCATCTCCAGTTAACCAGCGAAAAGCCAGAAGTGAAGCTGTGGCTCAAGTGGTATAGTGCTAGCCTTGGGCAAAAAAACACTCAGGGCCAGCACAAAAGAATACATTAAATAAATGTAATACATAAAATATAATATATATTATATAAACCTACTTTTTCCCCATTCTTCTACAACAACCAGTACACAGTCTTTCCCAAAGATGTTCTTGCTGTGTTGTCTGGCGGCCTGGTATTTCAGTTGCATGCGCGTTAATGAGCTGCAGCCTGGAGCCGGGGAAGCCGGGTCTCAGCGTGTGCGTGCCGTCCACACGGGCGGTTGTGTTCTTTTGCAGGCTGTGGTGGTGACGGATGGGGAGCGCATCCTGGGCCTGGGTGACCTGGGCTGCAACGGCATGGGCATCCCCGTGGGCAAGCTGGCGCTGTACACAGCCTGCGGGGGTGTCAACCCGCAGCAGTGCCTGCCCGTGCTGCTGGACGTGGGCACACAGAACGAGGTGAGTGTGTCCCGGATGCCTCTGAACACCACCACCCATGCTAGCATGCTCACCCGTGTCTCCAAGTTATTCCGTGAACTTCCCTAGAGTTTGTTCTTTTCTGTGTGTGTGTGTGTGTGTGTGTGTGTGTGTGTGTCACACACACATCTCTCCCCAACTTTGATAAGAACATTATTAATTAATTAATTAATTTTAATCAGCCCCGGCCTTGCCCATGCCAGGCAAGCACTCCCCACCCAGCCCTTTTTGGTTGTGTATTTTATTTAATTTCTTTCAATATTTATTTCCTTTTTGAGATAGGGCTGGCTAACTTCACCCTAGTTGATCTTCCTGCCAACCACCTTCTAAGTAACTGAGGTTACAGGTGTATGCTACTCAACCCCACTAAACATGACGTTCTCTGTTCTCATTTGCTCTCCTCTATAATGTGATTATGTTTCTTTTCCTTTTCCTTTTCTTTTCAAGCCCCTATACTCGGGCTTGAGCTCAGGGCCTGTGTGTGGCTCATGTTTTTTTCCTGATCAGTATTGATAGAAATGGTTCCAATGACAGGCTGAACATAGGTGGTTCTTTCCTCTTCAAGGATCCTGATCTAGCCAAATAAATACACTACAGCCCAAACATTTCAAATGGGATGCTACAATGTGGGCTGAACTTCAGTCGCCTCTCGGTTTGTGTGGATTGGGAATTCTGTGCTATCATTCGCTGGGTTGGGGTAGGAGCAGGGGTAGGGGCAGGGTACTGTTAGTATTAAGGAATCAATCAGTACCTTGTTCAAAGGCCATAATCTGTTGAGAAGATCTCAGTGGCTCAGTTAGGAGGATCACTAACTAGACTGTTAACCCAGGCAAAAGCAAAACCCTCTTAGAAAAACAAGCCAAAAAAAGGGCTGGAGGTGTGGCCCAAGTGGTAGAGTGTCAGAATTCACCAGACTGAGAACAGAACATCTCAAGACCTGCCACCTGAGGTAAAAAGTAATGGCAGTGATAGTACATCCATCTAACAATTTCCCAGCACCCTCTGAAAAGGGTTCCAGAGTCTTCTTTGCAATATAATATTTCTGCCATCAGAAAAAAAGCTGGATTTATGGAATTTGAGATTGTTCTTGCTGCCATTTACACAATAAATCTCGCTGGAGAATAGTATTAAAATCAAAGCTCCCACTTAGAGCTCGGATTTTCCATCGTCTGACATACTGAATCCATGTGACGCATTTCTTTTCCTGGAAGTCCCTCATGTGTGCACAGGTCCCCTGGTTTGCTAACCACAGTTCCCATCTTCATTTCCTTTATGCCTTGAGAGAAAGAAGGAAGAGAGTGCAAGAAAATGGAGAGGTTCCCAGCTACCTTGATGCTTTGGAGGCCCCAGAGGCACCCTGCCCTTCTGAGTTCCTTTCATATGAACCCTGAACCCAGTACCCTTAAATCTCCTTCCATATTAAGGATTAAGAAACAGGCAGTGATCTCACTGAGAGCGTCCTACCTTAATCACTGCATCTTCCCGACCCTCCACCTCTGAGGCTGCTGACCCTCTGACCTTCTAGGCAGGCCTGGGGAGTCCAGTTGCCTAGGTACCTTTAAAACAAACAGGGAACAAAGAGAATAGGCCCAGGATATCCATTCTTGTGTGTGTGTGTGTGTGTGGGTGCGTGGGTGCGTGGGTGCATGTGTGCGCATGCCAGCCAGTCCTAGGTCTTGAACTCAGGCCTGGGCACTGTTGAGCTTTTTCACTTAAAGGTAGCACTCTGCCATTTCTGGCTTTTTGGTGGTTAATTGGAGATAAGAGTCTTAGGGACTTTCCTGTCAAAACTGGCTTTGAACCATGGTCCTGGTATCTCAGCCTCCTGGGTAGATCACAGGCGGGAGCCACCCGCACCTGTCAGAAAGCTGGATTTTGAAGTTGGAATCTGCACATGGGCTGGGAAAGGGGCAGACTTCTGTCTCCATCAACACCACCATCTTAGGTGCCCCGCCATCTTAGGAGGCACACAAAAGGTTAATTACCCACAAAAGAAGTCAGACAAAAATAGAGATGGAGAGAAAGGCTTTTCCAGAGCTCAACAGATGCCTTCCATACCTGTGAGACTAAACTCCTGGCTCCCGCTGGCTGGGTTTTGTCACTGTCCCAGGTCCACATGTGGGGGGGCATTCCAGCTTCTCACAAGAGTCTCACCGGTGGAAGCGCTAGCAAGAACAGGGCTGAAGTAGGGGCCAATGGAAAAGAGAAGTGCAAGACTGCCCTAGAATGTAGCTCGATCCAGTCCACCCCCTACTCCCTCCTTGCTTCTGCCTCTTTTAGACAATTTTCAATGGGTCTCGTTGTCCTGCTTTCATTCATGTGTATGAATTACTTCATTCATATTTACCCAGCATCCTTTCCTTCCACCCTTCTGCCCTTCCCCGCCCCCAGTGTACATTCTTGTCACTTTTCCTTGCGTTGGATCTAAATCCCATACGTGAGAGAAGACACGGTTGATTGATGTGTGTCATTTTGAATTTGGCTTATTTTGCCAAACACAATGCTCTCCAGTTCTGTCCATTTGCAAATGACACAAGTTTATGCTTCATGGCTGAATAAAATCGTGTAGACACACATAATATCCATTATGTCTTCAGCATATATACTTCTTTACTCATTCCTCAGTTATGGGAGCACTGGCTGATTCTGTAGTCAGGCCTTGTGAGCAGAGCTGTTACAGTGTAACGTGTGATGTGGGTGTCGCTGCTGTATGTCGACTTGCATTCCTTTTATTATATGCTCAGGAGCGGGGCTCATGGCTCACATGGAAGAGAACTTGCTTGCCTGATGTTCACTGTGTCCTGGCCTCAATCCCCAGTCATGCCAAAAAAGTTGTTCTACTTAATTAAACTAGTTCCTCAGGTGCCAGACTGCTTAGTCTGTGAAGCCATTATAAAAATTGAGTAATCTTATTGAATTACTATATATATATATATATATATATATATTTCAGCATTTATAAGAATGCTCTCAGTTTTTAAGTCCTGTCTTATTTTTCTTAATATTGTTAGATTTTTGAAGAAGTCCTTTTTGGCAGGGACACTTACGGAAGGAATGGTACAGGTTTCTGATTCACTTCAAAAGCTTATCTTGTTCATAAATTTTGTAAGTTGAAATTTACATGGTAGCTAGACTTCTGGGTAGTCTAGACTTCATTAGCATGGGAAAGAATGGGAGAAAAATGTGACATTTTTCCCTCAACTGTGTTCTTTCTCTAATTCATTTAGAAGTCTAAATATATTCCAGACAGGGAGAAAGTATTTTAACGTTGGCAGCCATCAGTAGCATATTGGCACTTCAACCTCAGCAGCTCAGAAGCCTGCCAATACATTTTTTTAACCTTTTTCTTTTTTAATGCCTTAAAGAGCAGCTGGTTTTTACCACACTTGGTCATAAACTATATTTTATCTGAAATATACTTCTGTGACTTGCCATGTTCACGTCTCACTAGCTAGAAGGCTTCTCCCCTTATGATGCAGAACACAAGTAACCCAGAGAATTTCACAAGGAATGAGAAGGCCATTGAACACTTACAATCGGAGAACATGGCTGGGCTTTCTATTGGCTGGGAGTAAACCCTACTCTCAGATGATCCAGACACATGGACCTGGTTGACAGCACCACACCTCCAAAGCTGTATGGATTCCTCTTTTACAGGAATGTTTTGGTCTTGTGTGCTGGAGGTCAGTCAGCTCTGAATCCCTGCCATTGGGAGTTCCCACTGCCTGCTTTGATCAAGGCCCCTGTTTGTCTCTGGGGCTCCTTCTGTTTCCTCGGTGGGTCTCCGAAGCTCATTGTGCTAGTTTTGGGGTCTGCCCTGACCTCCTGGCTGTCCTCCGAAGTGCCCTTCTCCTTCCCTTTCTCTGGCTGCTTCCCGCCTGTGGGCAGTCTAGGGACCAGAGTGGCCTTTTCCATTTCTGTGTCTCTGTCCTCCTCCGCCTAGGAGCACAGCGCCCCGCTGGCCTTTTAGGCCCCAGCGTGTGTCCAGCATGGTCAGCCCTGGTGGACACAGACGGCTCTCACAGTCCTTTTCAGACCAGACCATAGTGGTGGGTGTGTAAACTCGGAAGGCTGTTAGAAATGGAGTTGCATGTATTTATTCCATTTTCAACTATCCACTACATGTAAAGGCAGTTGTGTGACCTTTGTTCTTGGCTTTGGTTCATCTTCCCTTCCCACTCCCTCCCACTTTCTCCTTCCTGTGTGGTCGTCATGGTGACAGCCACAGGCCATCCGAGGCGAGGAGGACAGTCTATGCTTTGCTTCCCCCCCCCCTACTGCTAGCTATGCTGGGAACGGTGGGTTGTGTGCAGACCCCCTCTACTGAGTTGATTATGTACATTTTTGTTCCAGTTTACTAAAAGATTTTGTTGTGAATGGGGGTTCTTTTTTTATAAATAAGTTATACCTCACAAGCTGGTATATTAAAATAATATCAAATATTGTATATATTAAAACCTGAACAGAATAACATTGTCTGAGACACAGCAGTTTTAAGAAACACCTTAAGCCTGGCACAGTGGCTTATGCCTGTAATCCCAGCAACTTGGTTGGAAGTGGAGATAGGGAGAGTGCTGGTTCAAGACCTCGAAAATAACCAAAGCAAAAAGGCCTAGGGTGTGACTTAAGTGGAAGAGCACCTGCCTGGTAAGCACATGGTGCTGAGTTCAATCTCTGCTACCTCAAAAAGGGAGGGAGAGGGGAGATGGGAGGGAGGGAGGAAGGAAGGAAGGGAAGAAATGAGGGAGGGAGGGAGGGAGGGAGGAAAGAAACCGGAAAGTTTAAAAAAATAAAAATCTTGTCAAAGTTAAAATTTTCTTTTTAAAGTCAGTTATACTAGAGAGAAAATCTAAATGCTTTCTGAAAATTTTGCTTTTGCAAGTGGAAAAAAGAAGAGAATCACCCTTTCCATTTCTAAGCTGATGTAGTACTTTAAGACTGAATTATGTTTTCATGTGTAAAATCTGAGTTGATAGTTTTTCTAATTAGCACCACTGAGAGATCATAATTCCTTTCCTTTTACTCAAAATAATTCAGAATTTTTGACGGTAATATAGCTATCTTATATATACTATACATGTCTGTGTATAACATGTTGCATGTGTGCATATTTGTATATATATGCACCCTAGATGTAATATAAATGACATTAGGTAGTAACTGAGCTAACTGTAAATCATTTTGTCAGGATTGGCTTTTGCCTCCCATGGTGCTGCATGCCGGTGACCAATGAGAAGAATGAGGCAAGAGACTCTTGAGTTTGAGATGAGCCTGGGCTACACCTTGATTTTTTTTTTTTAAAAAGGATTTTCTGTGTTTTGTTTCTTTTCTATAGATACAGAAACGGGCTAAGGGAGAACAAATGACTTGCTTGTGATTGTTCTTTCTTTCTTGTTGCAACAGGCATTACTTAAAGATCCGCTGTACATTGGACTCCGGCAGAAGAGAGTGAGAGGCCCAGATTATGACAACTTTTTGGATGAATTCATGGAGGCGGTTTCTTCCAAGTACGTCTATCTTTATTTCCTCTGTTCTTGGGCTGAACTTTAACAACCTAAAGATACACTAACAAGATAATTACTAAAAAAACAAAACAAAACAAAACAAAAAAAAAACCTCCTCTTTTGCTACAGTATGGTTTAATAGTTAGACACAATGTGAATGGAAGTGCATGTGTGCGTCTGTCTGTCCTCTCTGCTCCTGACCCTGGCTGGCCAAGCAGCCTCGTCACATGTCTGCCCCTTAAAGCATTCTCTGTGGCCATCCCGAGGACTCTTGTTCGTATGAGAATTTCTGGAGATTCCTGGCTGTTGGGATGCATGGCTGTGGTCAGTGGGACAGAGGAAACTATTCCTTTAAACATTTGTTGGCATCTGCGCCCCTCCCTGGCGCCTGACACCACCTTGTCTTGGCATCTGTGCTACTTTCTGACACTTCTGGGCTCAGAGAAGAAGAAGGGGGGAGAGGGGGAGGGACTAGCATGAGTGGCTAAGTCCTAAGTCCAAAGGTCCAGAATAAAGCAAGAACCAGGGAATCCAATCAGTTCCTGAATTTCCCATTTAATTACAGTATTTGTTTAAAGTGTAGTGCCACATTCTCATCGAACCCAGTTAGACTTTGGTTCTAGGTTAAGCACCAACTATAAAAGTTTCCCTTCTTTTCTCCTTCCAAACAGAGACTCCCACTATTATTTTCTTTTCCCTTCTATTTTAATTTTACTACTCATCATGGCACGCATCTGCCCAATTCAACATCAATGGTAACACAATGGCAAGAAGAGAATGTGCACTACAAGAATGGGCAAACCAGGGTTTTGTTGATCATTTTATTGATTAATCTAGACTTAAGAAAGTGACAGAGAAAATGGTGACAACACTGACTCAAAAGCATGTTGGATGCTTTATATGGGGCTGGGCATGAACTTCACATCCTTGGGACCTGGGTTTGAGTCCCAGCACCTGGGGATTGTGCTTGTTTTTTTTTTTTTAAAGCACAATGAAAAGCCCCTGGTAAAAAACAAAAACCAACTCCTGAAGTGGTCTATTTTTTAAGACTCTGAATTGGTAAAGATGTTGCACATGCCATATGACAGATGGAAACTCTGACATTAAAATAAACAATGTATCTCACTAGTATAAACAATATCAGTTAACATTCATTATTAGACTTACAGTAGTTGTCTTCACATTAGTAAATATTTCTCTTACTTGAGAGTATTATTATTTAAAAAGTTATTTCTGGCGGCCTTCCTTCTCTACAATAGGTTTTCAGACATTCATTTCAGCTCACCTGTGTTGTTAGTAATTCATACGGCAGGAAGGGCTGTGGCCCCGTAGACAGTGAATGAGCACGTCGTATGGTGATGGCCCATCTGACAGGGGTGTGAGTAGAGCAGTGGAGTACAGGGAGAGGTCCATCGACCTTCTGTGGTGTCATGTGACATCATGCTGGCCATTTCTAAAGGGGCAAATAGTACTTACTGTCTGTATCTGCACAGTCTTGATACCGATAATTTATCTATTCATCTTTCCACTTTTTTTAAAATTAAAGGAGAGAGGTTGTTATGGGATTTGAACTCAGGGCTTGGGTGCTGTCCCTGAGTTCTTTAGCTCAAGGCTAGCACTCTACCATTTTAAGCCACAGCACCACTTCTGGGTTTCTGGTGGTTCATTAGACTTCCCTGACCAGACTGGTTTGGTTTTAAACTGTGATTCTCAGATCTCAGCCTTCTGAGTAGCCAGGATTACAGACATGAGCCACTAGCACCTGGCTGTTTTGTTATTTTAAGAGCCTGATTATATTCTGCCTCTTGTTTAGTTGTATTTTATTTGAAATGACATTCATGAAATGTCTGTATTTCTGATAAAGTCTCATAAAGATCTTTAGGTACTTCCATGTCTCCTAGTTTGTTCTAAAGTGTCCCACTTTTTTTTAAATTGCCTTTTGCTGGGCACTGGTGGCTCACACCTGTAATCCTAGCCACTCAGCAGGCTGAGATCTAAGGATCACAGTCCAAAGCCAGCCTATACAGGAAACATCACGAGATTCTTATCTCCAATTAACCACCCAAAAGCCAAAAGTGGAGCTGGGTCTCAAGCGGTATCTCCAATTAACCACCCAAAAGCCAAAAGTGGAGCTGGGTCT